ATTTTTAATTAAATAAGCCATATAAAAATTATATAAACTTGTAAATCTTATTACACAATTAGTTGTTGGTTATGTAGATGTCTTAACTTGATCATATCAACTTAGGAAAGATCACTTAGTTAGAAAAGCATTCCCAATTATTTGTAATAATTAGTGCAACACAAAAATTTTTGTTCCCCACTCCTTTCATGCTTGTTAATAGGTATGTGTGTGTGTGTATTTATATATATAAATGTAGAGGGAGCCTCCATGATTCCATTTCTTAACTCCACACAATCTTAAAGTGGTACCAATACTCCACTAATAGTCTAATTTATAGATGCATCTTAGGGCATAACAATATCTTTTTCATGTTAATTTAAATGACCGAGACAACAATGGATAAAGGATTGGTTGGTTAGTTAGCAATCCTTTAACAACTTGAATCTAAATAAATTAGTTAGCCATCTCATAGAAATTAAGTATATTTCCTCCCCTCTTGTTCATTTACTTGTTTGAGATTCATTAGATACAATTTCATAACCCTCTTGCAACAACTTCAAAAGCCCAACATCGTTCAATCCCTATTTATTTAATAAGTTAACTTCAATTTTATTATTCTTTTTTACTAAACACCCTCTATAGCTCAAATATAGACCTTTTAGTCTCTCTTTGTAGAAGTTATGATATGCTATAATTCACCCTCTCTCTCCTATTTCTTAGCTCAATAAGGCATTGATCTATGTATCATAAACGTAACAAATGATCATAATGTACTTACATAAGACATAAGTCATAGGATCAATTTTTTTTAAAATTTTTAGTGTGCTATCTTCACTTTCTCTCTGTGTATCTTTTTTCATTAATTGACCATCGAGAATAGATAATGTGCATCTCTTCACAAATCTTTGATGCAAGCATTAACAATTACCACCTCAGATTGAGGAATTTTACATTGTTAATTATTGGGGTTTCATAGGGCACTTCCATGTTGGTTCACAAGATTACTAACTCAATGATTGGTTTCAACAACACACATATAAAGTGTGTGATGGCAAAATTATATAGTGATAGCTCGTGAATCATTTCACGGAATGATTATAATATCATATAATTGAGACTATTCTCATTTTGTGCGATCAAAACTATTTAATCAAGAGTTATTAGTATTAGGGATTAACTTTATTCCATCCTTTATTTCACAACAAATTAACTTATCTACAATATTATAGATTTCCTTATAGAACTACAAGCCTTGTTGACCCTCCTAATTTAAAACTAGGTTACTAAATATTTAAACTAGTATAAAATCCCTCATAAAAAAATGTAGGAGAAATTGGTTCATATCCCTAAAATTGCTTCTGAATATGTTGTCAAAGCTCATATTTTGTGACAACATAAAGTGCATCAATAATGTGAGGTCAATGCATGTTCACCAAAGTAGATGAATGATTATGAGTTATTTAGGCAACATGAGAAAAAACATGTTAAATTTATAATGTGAAGAAAATTTAATAAGGTTGTGATGAAGGAACTTTAATTTACCATGATGCCAAGAGGGCCTTACACGAGTGTTTTTTGTCCTTTTTTATCTCTTTTATTATTAAAGAGTTTCCGACTTGTCTAATTATAATCATCGTATTATTCCCTTATTCAAGTAAATCTACCTCGAATAAAATGAATGATCTGAAGAGGAGATGGACCAAAATGAGGGATATACAACAGACAATAAACACATGAGAGAAAAAACGTGAAGAGCTTTTGTAAAATAAACTTCGCATGGATTGCCTCAAAGCATACATCTAAAATGAGATTAGATCAAGATTAATTTGGACATATCTGAGAAGAGGACCTTACAAAAGAAACCCACAACCAAAAAATCAACTTTTTGGGTTTGTTCTGGGTTCAAGAGCACTCTCGAATGAACGTATTCCTTTAGTTAATTATATCTTGAGGGATACCCAAGAAAACTCTCAATAAAAAGGTCATTGCTTACATAATTTAATGAAATCCCAGTTATTTGGGAAACCAATGGATTTAGATCATCTTAATGGAAAATCCCGATGTCTTTAACATATATACCGGGCTATAGAGCAGGGGTGAATCTCTGTAAACACTAAGGGCGGCGAACGCCTAAGCATTTATGGCCCACAAGATGATATCAATGATTTGTCAAAGAAATCGTCATGGCTCAAAAAGAGGTGTCAATAGAAAGAAGGAGAATCACTAAAAGAAAATTTAATAAGGTTGTGATGAAGGAACTTTAATTTACCATGATGCCAAGAGGGCCTTACACGAGTGTTTTTTGTCCTTTTTTATCTCTTTTATTATTAAAGAGTTTCCGACTTGTCTAATTATAATCATCGTATTATTCCCTTATTCAAGTAAATCTACCTCGAATAAAATGAATGATCTGAAGAGGAGAGGGACCAAAATGAGGGATATACAACAGACAATAAACACATGAGAGAAAGAACGTGAAGAGCTTTTGTAAAATGAACTTCGCATGGATTGCCGTAAAGCATACATCTAAAATGAGATTAGATCAAAATTAATTTGACATATCTGAGAAGAGGACCTTACAAAAGAAACCCACAACCAAAAAATCAACTTTTTGGGTTTGTTCTAGGTTCAAGAGCACTCGCAAATGAACGTATTCCTTTAGTTAATTATATCTTGAGGGATACCCAAGAAAACTCTCAATAAAAAGGTCATTGCTTACATAATTTAATGAAATCCCAGTTATTTGGGAAACCAATGGATTTAGATCATCTTAATGAAAAATCCCGATGTCTTTAACATATATACCGGGCTATAAAGCAGGGGTGAATCTTTGTAAACACTAAGGGCGGCGAATGCCTAAGCATTTATGACCCACAAGATGATAACAATGATTTGTCAAAGAGATCGACATGGCTCAAAAAGAGGTGTCAATAGAAAGAAGGAGAATCACTAAAAAGATAGAGATAGCTGGGTCAAGATACCAAGGATCTGTCATCCCAGGCTATGTAGAATTTTAGTCTACCTGGTTCTGAAGATAATCAGCCTAACACAACTGAAAACTTCTTGTCAGCAATTTCATTCAAGGAAGTTTCACTAGCTTTAAAGTCAAAGGAAGAAAACTCAAGTTCCTGTAACTCTAAACAGGTAGAGCTCATCAAGAAAAATGATAGAGTTGTCGCTAGAAAAAAGAGAAAAGGAAGTTTCACTACAAAACTAGAAACACTCCACACAAAGGATTTATACCTTATCTGGGTTAGGGATACCTCTAACAACCAAAGCGTACTAAACTGCCTCATAGGTAAAAATTTAGGATTGACCAAGTCAGGTACAGAGAAACGCGGGGAATTCTCCTCGGGTATATGCATATGATGCAGTTGTCTACTACATTCCTATGATGTGAATGCCCTATTAGAATGGCTTGGGTGTTATCCATGCATGCAACTCATTTTAAAACCAGCCCGAAGGCCATGCAAAAAAGTAAAGTGCGGGCTTTTAAATCTAGAATATTTTAACCTTAAAATTTAATTAACCCTAATATTTTATTATTAAGATTTTGTAGAAAGTTTAGAATTTTAGGGTCATTATGAGTACAGGTGCAAACGATCCTAACACGAGCGAGTCTAGACTCAGCTCGTCTTCAACTCATTTTTACTTCAAGCTCAAAAAGTCTGTTCGTGTTCGACTTGTTTGCTTTAGTGAGCCGAACACGAGTTGTTTACGAACAAAAAGTCATTTTGATAACCCTAAACATGTAGCTATAAGATGTTTTGTGACAGAATTTAAAATTTATTGTTTATATTAAAACATCATTTGAATCTACTTTAATGATTTTTATTCTATTTTCTTAATTAATGCTTTTAATTGATTATAAATCTTTGAAGCATTGCAGTCAATTAAAATTTAAAAAATACTACACATCAATATATATATATTGATGAGTAATATTTCGAGCAAAAACGAGCTGAACACGAATGAAAAAAATTTTGTTTGTGTTCGACTCATTAATTTAGCAAGCAAGCCGAACACGAGCTTCTTAAGAAGCTGTTTGTGAACAAGGAGCCGTTTTGACAACCCTACTTAGGAGGCCTAGATTACATTTTTTGTGACAAATATCCCAGGCAAGCATCAATCAGATAAGAAAGCATGAAGACAAAGATAATCACAAAAAAAGGCAAGCCAATCAAAATAATAAGAATGGGCCAATGCCGCTAGGTTGACAACATCTTCCGGGAAAACAAGTAAAAGCAATCTGACTCCGCATATACATGCATGGTCCTAATTCTATACAAGAATATAAATTCAAAATTAAGGTACGAGACACGAGCTACTTCTCCCGATCCCTGTCACCAGCCTCGAAACTCGTGCATGTACATTTTCCGATACATACTTGATTCTATGACTCTATCAAATCATGATAAAAGTAAAATAAAGGATTCAACTGCAGAAAGTGTTAGCACATGTTATCTCATGCAACACATATGAGCCATACCTGACGTGAGGAGCTTATAACAACATTTGCAAGAAAGAGTTAGTATAAAATCATAACATTATTCCTCCCTTATTAAACCTGTGAGTGTGCATATTTAGAGCATGACTCCCTATAATAAAAAAGCGATTCTAATATACTATTACAAATGTCCACGCTTAGTAAACACACAAAAACACACGCAAAAATGATGCTTGGCTAGAACAACCAAACAAATAGAGAATTATAGCCAACCAACAAAAATACTACCTGACACCCTAATCCTAGCCTAACATATCATCTAACAGTAAGTGTCCTAACTAGCATGTTAGTGTAGGGTCAAGTCTCTGGATATCGTATGAATTTGATAGGGTCGTCATACCAACCTCATACTAAAGATCCAATGGATCTAAAGAGT